TCCTCATTCGTAAGAATGTTTTATTATGCTAACATTCGTTCAGTTCGAGGTTGAGATGCAAGATAACTGGTATGAGGCGGCCGTCTCGGTGATGCCGCCCCACAGGATTATCTCCGTCGTGGACTGGGCCTCTGACTCTCCTCTCCCTGTCGCACCCATCCCCAAGAAGCCTGATGCATCGTCTGCTACCTACAACGTGTTCCGCTGGGGTGTCAATGACCCTGCGGTTGGCGAGCGTACCATCGAGAAGGAGAACTTTGATTCCCTCGCCAGTCCCGCCGGTTGGCATTCGCTCCCATACGATAACGACCCTGCGTCGAATCATGTGAAGGGCAAGAAGACGTCCGTCAAGTTCAGGAACACCACCGAAACTTGGGGCAACAACGTCTTTGCTCATGAGAACTGGCAAGGCGGTAACTCCTGGGTCACCAACTACCGCCCAGATGCAGGCAAGAGCCTTTCGTTCGACTTCAAGTACGACCCCAAGGAGACAAACAAGACCGAGGCAATGGATGAGGCGAAGAAGTACATCAACGCCACTATCACTCAGTTGTTCTATACTGGCAACATGATCCATGACTTGTACTACAGGTTCGTTATCACTCGTTTCTCTTACAATCCGCAGCTCACTGATGAGGCTATTGTAGATATGGCTTCGACGAGGTCGCTGGTAACTTCCAGCAACACAACTTCGGTCGTGGTGGAGAGGAGGATGATGCTGTCATCATGAACGCACAAGACGGCAGCGGATTCAACAACGCCAACTTCATGACTCCACCCGGTGAGTGTTCATGAACTGGAATCGCGGTTAGAGCAGAGAAAGCTAATCGTCATCATACAGACGGTCAGAACGGTCGTTGCCGCATGTACCTCTGGAACACTGCCAACCCTTACCGCGATGGTGACCTCGAAGCAGGTATTGTGATCCACGAGTACAGCCATGGTCTCAGCACTCGTCTCACTGGCGGACCTGCCAACTCGGGATGTCTCGGCTGGGGAGAGTCTGGTGGTATGGGTGAAGGTTGGGGTGACTTTTTGGCAACTACTATCCGTAGCAACAAGACCTACTCCGATTATGCTATGGGTGCTTGGGCTGCAAATCGGGACACCGGTATCCGTAACTTCGTCTACTCCTTGGTGAGTTTGTCTGTGATGCCGCCTTACTTTGTTCCGTATGCTTATTTGGTTGTAGAACGAAACTATCAACCCCTCTACCTACAAGACCCTCGACAAGCCCGGCTACTGGGGCGTCCACGCCATTGGTGAAGTCTGGGCAGAGATTCTCTGGGTTGTCTCCTATGAATTGATCAACAAACATGGCTTCTCCGACTCACTTTTCCCTCCTCTCCCTGACGCCGATGGTACCGTTCCTGAGGGCGATTTCTATCGTCCTCAGGAGTACACTTTGACTGGAGAGAAGAAGCCCCTTGTGCCCAAGCACGGTAACTCCCTCATATTCCAGTGCGTATTCTTCCCAACCTGATGGCAGTTGGGCATAATGTGCTGACGGATTTTCTTTAGGTTGGTTCTCAACGGCATGAAGTTGCAACCTTGCAGACCTTCATTCTTCGACGCCCGTGACGCTATCATCGCTGCTGACCAGGCTCTGACTGGTGGTGAGAACTTCTGCGAGCTCTGGAACGGGTTCTCCAAGCGTGGTTTGGGTCCCAAGGCCAAGGTTGAGGGTCGCACTCCTTGGGGAGGAGGAATCCGTACTGATGTAAGTGTTTTTACCCAACGTCAACTCTTTATCACGAATGCTCATGCACCTTTCCCTGACAGGACTTCACCTCCCACCGCAAGTGTCTCTCCGACGACATTCCTGAGCCAGACCCCGTACCTGAGCCTACACCCGGAGACGGCGACGAGGATGACGATGGTGATGATGATGACTGGCCTTGGGTGTATTGAAGTTTCTCGGACATCGCACTCATTTAACTAGATTCATCCACCATCTACTCCGCCCTTGCACATCTCGTATCTCCTATTAGTCTAGCCTTTCTCTCATTCCTATAGCTGGGATTTCGGCGTGTCGTGTCGACCATTCTTTTTCTTTTGTGTAATATTAGTTATCAGCACACTCACTGTCTCCCTCGATACCGATATACATACCTGAGCCTTTTATTCATACGTTGCGAGGGCAGACTGCGGGAGGAACGTCGCTGCACAGATTGAGCAAGATACGAACCGACATCAACCACTGGGAGAGGCAAGGGGAGAGGCAAAAAAAACAATGCTCGGAATGAGGATCGAACTCATGACCTCAGGATTGCTGTGTAAATCACAGTCATACGAAAGTATGAGACCTGCGCTCTAACCAACTGAGCCATCCAAGCATTGGATGGCTGTGGCTTAACAACCTCTCTGATGAGTGGCATTTCGCTGAGTGGTAGGCGGTAAGTATTCGCTACAGAAACTTTCATCTATGTAACTTAACATCCATCCGTAGTCTTCCAGAGATACATACATAACCACGAAGTCGTCCGTTGAACGCAAGTATGAGGATTCGACCCCAGTTTTCTTAGACCCCTCCCACCGCACGCATCGCACCGATCTTCGCGACCTGCGTTTCTGCATAACCCACAAAAAAGAAACCAAATCTCATCAGCCACACTCAAATACAACGCGAACGAGGTCTAAGAGATGTAAAATGATGGAAAGAGAGGAAAGAACGACGAGTGTTTGCGACGTACCGGTAAGAGCAGACCCACGGTTGGCTTCTTCGATGGTCTCGACGTATTCGTTCAGGACGACGCCCATGTAGGTGTGCGAGTTGCAGAGGGGACCTGTTCGCCAGAGGTGGTGGCCGTTCTTGGCGTTGCTGAGGTCGTTGACCATCATTTTGGCTGACGCGGTCAGGCATATCTGTAACGAGCGGGCGGGTGAGGTGTGAGCGTTGACTGGGCAGTGAGCAGTGAGGCGGAGACGTACAAGGAGGAAAGGATCCGCGTGTAGTTGTGCACCCCTGATGATATCCGATCGTTTCGGGAGGATAACCTTGTACGCTGCGGCGATCGCTTTGCTCGCGCTGAGACACTTGACCGTCGAAGTGAGGTTGGAATCTATGAAGACGTTGTGGAGTTGCATCATTGACAGGCGGGCGATCATGTGGGTGAGGACGAGGTGGCGGATGAGTTCGGGGTCGTCGAAGCTGGAAAGCGTTTCGAGGAGGGGGAGGTGGAGGATGAATTTTTCGATCAGAATGTCGTGTTCGTTGAGAAATTCTAAGTGAGGAGCAGAGTCTGTGAAAAGTAAGTATGAGTTGTGGCTCGGAAGGGTAAGGACGAAAGGTATACCGATAGATGCAGCTGATGATAACCAGCCTGCTTTGGACAGTAAAGCTACTGCTTGACTCCGCAGACAGACGGGGGACATGACGGCCGGTTGGTTTTCTGGCACGAATGGTTGGTGCAGAAATGACATCATGGTGTGTCCACCTCTGTACGATTCTGGTACATCTCCCTTCGAAAAAGATGTTAGCGAAGTTCTTGGAGAGATGTCTCATGGTCTCACCTCCTCGAATTCTTTCATTGAGAGTGGCCAAGGGGTTTCGACCGTCCCACTTGGTGAGCCATCGTCCACGATGAAAGATTGCCTGTCCACGGCCATAGCCCATACTTTGTCCAACGAATACACCGTCCAGAAACAATGTATGCGCTCGCCCTCGTCCAAGGTCGATTCTGGCGGAGGCACGTACTGACTCATGTCTACGAGGTCAAGCTTTGCGTTGAGGGTCAATGGGATCTGGTTCCTAATCTTTCCCAACTTGTGAGTGACGACCAGTGAGGAGGCGATGGACAGATGGTTCCGCCCTTCGGAGAACCGCGCTGAGTGAAAGTAGTAGTTTGCCAGCAGGACCTCCGCTTGGATGATGTGGAGGAAGTTACCCTCAGACGAAGCCGTTGAGATAAGAAGCGACGCGCAGTGGGTCGCATATGTCTCCTCTACGATGGTCCAACGATCATCCTGAGAGAGGATGCTCCCCCAAAGGTACACGGTGCAAAGGAGAGGGTCCACTGGTGCGTGATGCGCAGTGGTAGAGAACTTCCGCGTACAATAGCTGACAAACCGTGCTCTGTTCAAAAAGAAACCAAAGTCATATGCATAGCGCATGAACACTTCAATCCTAAATGTTTTGCGCAATCAATCGTGACTCGTCTACTATGAAGGTCTTAAGAATGCACTCACAAACCCTGTGCCACGGTCAACGGTGGCTCATCGACATGATTGAAGGCGAACTGGCTATTCAGCTTTGTGTGCACTGGGAGCGACATCGTAAGATAACGGCTTAGTAGTGACGGTGAGAAGAAAGCCCATGGATATTACCTAGACCCTCCACTTCTCTTTCCGGCGACATGTCCATGCCATCATCTACGTGACCGCCAGACCGGCTTTCGCGGGCACCAGGCAGCGACTCGGGTGATGTGGATGTGGACGGCTCCGATGTAGGGCTCTCAAGGAGTTTTAGCCGTGCTTGCAAAGCCGCGATGTTCTCCTCCAGGATTTGTGTCCTGCTCCGCTGATCCCCGTCCGTGAATTCACAATCGTGCTCTCGGTTGAATCGAACACATTGCCCGCACACGGGTCGAACGCAATCGCATTTCTGGTGGGTGACATGATGAGTTGGACTCATGAGTACCAAAGTGGCTAAGCAAACTCTCACCATTTTGCGCCTGCGACACGCAAGGCATGCCTTTCCTTTTGGTGCCCGGCTCGGGAAACTTCCCTCTGGTCTCGGATCTGACGTTGCGCTGCTCATGATCGATGACCACCAGTCGGTATAATCAGGGGCAGAGGTTGAGGCGACGGGGTTGAAGCAAAACTGAAAGCAAGCTGTAGCTGAACGCCATTGTCGTCAGCTGTCATACACAGCATGCGGCTTTCTTGACGCTTAGTAGGCTTACGCGTCACTGTGTTTGCGGCGCCGGGGGATGGTTGTAATTTAAAACATGAACGAAAGGTTGATGCCGGAGGTAAAGCGTGTGGGAAGGAAAAAGCTATGCCACGTACCAGATTTGAACTAGTGACCTTCGCATTACAAGTGCGACGCGCTACCACTACGCCAACGCGGCCTTCGCTCGTTAGAGCTTACTTACAGATATAATCAGCGTAGAAATCTCAAGGAGCTTCATAATGCAGAACATTATTGGCGGAGCAGTGGAAGGGGTTGGCGGTGGAAAGATTGTGATGAATGGGCCCTACGGATCGATACGCTAGCGATGGTACTGCGAACAGGATGATTTTGGGGACCGAGAAGCTTCAGCGATTGCAAAGAAAACCCTCAATTTGTGGGATGTCCTGATTTGGCACGCCATCGTTGTCCACGATGAACCAAGTTCAGCCAACTGGGTACTCCAAGCTCATGCCGAAGTTACGACTCGGAAGGTGACACCTTGGAAGCAGTCACATACTTATAAATCTGGGAAATTGCTGTAATAGTAATCAACTAGGAAGGGTATTTCTGCCATCCTTATCTTTGTTTGGCCGCTCCACCATTGTTCGACCTTCCAGTATATCCGGGCATGACATCTAAGCGAAACGAAATGCACTGGTAAATGGTCTGTTTCTCAGATCCTACGAAACAATTCAACTCACAAATCGGTAGCGCTGATAGCCACCGCCATAATCTACGGCTGCCATCGGTGGGCTTGTGTCGATCAGATTGGTATTGTCGAAGACCATCCTGAGAAGAGCCGGTGAGGGTACCATTTCTCGGAGGTATGGCCTCGCGTTCAACGCCGCAAGCAATGTGTTTAGGGAAGCTGTACACAATTATAAGAAAGAACGTCAACGATTGCTAGAATAAGGACATGCCTTTGGGGTAAACGAAGAATATGGCAATGTAGATTCCTGTGCGAGGCATTGTGGCGTACTGTCAGGTATAGACTCTGCTAAGTGACTGATCAAAGAGATCGCATATAAATTGCACAACGCACCGTGATGAGTACAGCCATCGCGAGAGAACTAAACGGACAACGCGCCCATTGAGTAATTTGATAACCTCAAGCAGGGATGCAAACCTCACCTCTGCAAAAGCCCCGTGTTGACGGCGTAGAACATCAATTTTTGCATGAGTTCATGGGCACTACGTCAGATGAGAAAAGAGTTTACAAGGTGAAGTCATGTAAGAGATACTCGCCTCTGTGCCTCACATTTTAATCGTCGGAATAGAAGGAACAATGAGGCAGAAATGAAGACATCGGAGGCGGCGTCGCTGGAGATTGTCGTGTAGAGGAGCCACTGCGTATTGCGACCAGTTTGTAGAGTCCATCTCATGACATACAGGGACGTACCGAGAAAGTATTGGAATGTAGAAGCGATGTATGGAGCCTGAAGAGCAGTATTAGAGCAGTGTTTTGTGCACGAATAGATCAAAGTCAAAGGATAACTTGCAACCTCACAATTTGGCACCATATGCTGGACAAGCATTGGAATCAGCTTGCGGTGGCAACAAAAAAGACTGAGACGCACATAGTCCGAATCCCGTAGTTGCTGTACAGAGAATTACCTGGAAAGCCATCAAAGTCAGATATTGGCTGTAGGACAGTAGGAGTAAGTGCACGTACCAGCGGTATCACCGATAGTATCCGATTTCTACTGACTACAAGTTTACTATTAGACGGCAAAGTAGGAAGGAGGTACTGTGGGTATCTTACGACCCAGTATTTTGCCCAAGAAGATGCTGTTGGGTTGGATCAGCTGCGGTCGGTGAGGAAAGATTGTTACGGTTCTTACATCCGGATTAATGAGACGTTGATGTACTGGGGGGGGGGGGGGGGGCATGTTCGTTGGAAAGGAGTGGTGCGAAGACAACTTGTGACTTACCGAAAGCGTAACGAGAGCCTGGGTTGATGTTCAGTCAAGAGGAAATCGAAAAAGGTGGCACACGCACCCCGGATAGCCTGAAGGAAAACGTGAGATATGAGCACGGGAAGATGGAGCTTACAAGACCAGGACACACCACATGACGAGAGTACCACCAAAACTCGGATCAGCGCTGTGCGACACCGCAAAGTAGTATACATCCCATGTAACGAACACGACATGAACTGTATCAAATAACCTGGAGATCGTTCAGTATGGGAGACATTGCCGCTTGTGCAAAGACCAAGCCATACCATAGCGAAGCCATCTAGTAAGTGAAAATTAGCGAACGTCGCCCTAGGCTTGAGAATCGCTAAATACCACACCGTAATCCTCGTATAGCGTGTATCCTCATTTGAGCTCTTGAAATAATGGTACATCTGCGCACAGGTCATACCGTAGAAGCTAACATCAAGTATCAGAGGAGGGTTCGAAAAGAAAATGAAGGAAATACTGGCTCACATGCCGGCCAACACTCCTCCGATCACCGCAGAGCCATAGGTGTTATCAACGGTGGCAGCAATCATGATAAAACAACGTTGAAGGACGCGTCCTGCGCAGCGTGGAAGGCAAGATCGACTTGCGGTCAAGGGATTCATCTCTCGATTGCGCTGGTTTAAGTACGCCCATATGCTCACGAACACCGGACGAGTGGTCATCAGTTGAACAAAGATGGTTGGATTTCGTTTCAAATCCCTGAAGCACAGAGAAAACTCGGCGAACAAACATATCATTCGTCACCTCCTGTGCAAATCTATCAAAGACACATCAATGTTCGTATGCTTTACAGAGGGCGCATCTAGCTCACCTAGTGCTTCAGATGACCGGAGTGAAACTGTATCGTTAATGGCCACTGGTTCGATTGCGTTTCGGATTTTGCCGGTGAACTCAGAACTGCATTCCTCGCACCGTCACGAGAACTGTTAAAGCCAGCGAACTAGTACAAACGTTTGTGCGTGAAGTCCCCTATTGACAATGAGAGAGAGAAAGAACAGCGACATACTAGATGCATACCATGCACGTTAGGATTCTCCACACCGTTCGAGATCATGAAAAGTACACGTCTCAACTTGAAGTTGTGATGGGTCAAGCAACCTTGTCACTGCACTATTAGCGGAGACGACACTGTTCAATATCGATTGAGATTGTTTTTACCAGAGCAATGCCATCTAGAGAGCGATGAATCACACCCAGCTGCCACACCTCCAATCAGCGTGGCGCCACTGGCATAAGTGTTGTCTGACGTTGCAGCGATCATGGTAAGGGATGCATCCTACGCTGGTGGAAGGCAAGATCAACTAGAGTTCGGGGCCGTCATGATCGAATCGCGTCGGTTTAAGTAAGTATACCTGCTTGCGATCATTCAACGGTATACCATCCCCTCGAGCAAGGATGGTGGTTGAAAAGTCGACGAACATTGGCAGACTATTTTACGGTTACATTGGTAGAACTTCAGCTCTGTGCATTATATCGGATGTATCAGTATCGAGATGGGTTTACGAGCATTGCACCAACTTACCTGGATGAAGAGAAAGAACGAAGTCGTGGTGTGCGGTTCGATTTTGCGTTTCGGGGCTTGCCGGTGAACCGTTCCGGAGTCGAACTGCTGTCGTCAGTACGCGACCGTGACCACGTCAACAAGCCTCAGCGCCGCCCAAGCTCACGATCTCTTCCTTCTCCTCCACCCTTTCCTTCATTCTCGCAAAAAATGGTACGCTATTCTAGGGACTGTTGTATTCGTTTTCAGCGTACTGAGTGGTCCATTGTAGCCGGCGGCAACAGCAGACCCAATACCCATCGAGACGTCTCATGAGGACATGATAGTACGCTCGGTTATAACAGACGATCCATTTTATGAGTACTGACGCGTCTGCTTTGCTTTTAGCATGATGCCCAGTTGGATTACTACGGTAAACGACTGGCTACCTGCTCTTCGGATCGCACAGTGAAAGTGTTCGACGTTGTGGATGGAGAGACCCAGCGTTCGACGGGTCAGACACTGAAGGGGTGAGTGAATAGACGAAAGGTCTAGCGGTCGTTGAACTGAGCGTGCGTGGTCCGTTTATTAGCCATACCGGTCCCGTTTGGCAAGTCGCTTGGGCGCATCCCAAGTTCGGACACATCTTGGCTTCTTGTTCGTACGACGGCAAAGTCATCATATGGAAGGAGCAGACGGGACAGCCGGGAGGTACCCAGTGGTTGAAGATCAACGAGCATACACTGCATGCTGCCTCAGGTGCGTGATGACCCCAAATCCTGCCGTCAACCAAAGATTGATTTTGTACCCCCCTTCCCCCAGTGAATTCCGTGTGCTGGGCACCCAATGAACTCGGAGCTATTCTGGCCTGTGCTTCGTCAGATGGAAAGATCTCCGTCTTGACTTTCAAGAGTGCGTAAAATCCCCGCCAACATCTTGTTCGCACTGCTATAGTCAAACTTTTTTTCACTCTTTATTAAAGACGACGGCCAATGGGGCGCTGACATCTTTGTTGGTCACGCAATTGGCTGCAACGCCGTGTCCTGGGCACCCGCCGTACAGCCTGGGTCGCTGATTGCACCTCAACCCGCCGACGCTATTCCCGGCCAACAAGGTGCCTCCGTCCACAGCGTCAAACGCTTCGCCACAGCAGGATGCGACAATGTCGTCAAGATCTGGGGATTCAGGGAAGACTCGCAGCAGTGGGTCGAAGAGGAGATCCTGGAGGGTCACACTGATTGGGTTCGGGACGTGGCGTGGGCACCGAATATCGGACTGCCCAGGAGTTACATCGCCACTGCTTCACAGGTACGTTTTCGTGCCGCCTTCATTTCGTTCAAACTATCCGGGCCTTACAACTCCCAACCGTCAAGGACAAGACTGTCCTGATCTGGACGAAAGACACCCCGACATCTCCCTGGGTCAAGACTGCGTTGGACCCTTCAGCCTCTGCGTCCGCGTCCCCCGCTGGCGGCAACGCTGCCCCCACACCTGCTGGCAAGTTCCCCGACGTCGTTTGGCGAGTCTCATGGTCGCTCGCCGGAAACATCCTCGCCGTTAGCTGTGGTGACGGGAAAGTGACGCTGTGGAAGGAGAACTTGAAGGGGACTTGGGAATGTGTAAGTGACATGACTAGCTAGATGCCTTTTTGCACCAGTTCTGTTCTAGTCTGTGTTCAAGTAACCATTATTGTAACTATGACTGTCGGATTTTCTTCATGCTTCACGTCTG